TCAAGTATTTTTCTTATTACTTTAATTGCTTTTACTGTTTTAAGGTGGCAAAAATATAGAGATGAAGTTAGAGAATTAAAGGAAAATTACAAGGTCTGCTCAAACACTGGGGGTAGTTGGGTGTATTCTCAACACACTCAGTACAGAATAAGTTCAAACTTTTCACAACCAAAGAATTACCTAATTATCTTCACACCTAACAACTTTCAAATCCCAAACAACGAAGAGCATACAAACCAACAAGGTACTCTACAAAATTCCTCATTTCAGGTAAGAGAAATTACAATTGGAATATTGACCTCTCTGCTCTAGTTTAAAACCTATATCTTAATTTACACTTTTCTACAACATTGTCACATTATTTACCACAAGCTAGTTAAAGTACATTAAGTAGTAATCAAAGCAGGATTAAAGTAAATTATCACTAGAAAAAAACAAAACCTAGACCTAAGCACAGACATGGCAATTATCAGGTATATTATGCAAATATGCATGGGTGTTTAATAGTTGGGTTAGATCATAATGGAGTACCAAATAGTTTTTAAACCTATTTTCAAAAGTAATATTGAATTAATGCTTATAGGCGTTGCTGAGAAGGATAAATGCATAGCAGTAGAAATACTGAAATATATACCTTTCCTTAAGAAAAGTTTGCCTTTGAATTTTGGTAATGAGAAAGGGAAGGTCAAGCTACAGGTTTGCAGATCTTCCCTTTCAGCAAAAATCATGTAAAGTGAATGTCCAATTGGTAAATAAGTGAAAGATGTGTACACCTTAATCATCCATTGATGTGCAAAAAAAAAAACTAATTCCCCTTGCACACTATTGGGAATTTAAAATTTAAAATTCAGTAGTAATCCACACTGATTTTTCAAACCTGAATTGAATTAACATTATTCTTATTTAAACCCACTGGTTACAATAATTTTTAATAGTGGTACATTTTTGTGTAAATGACTGTTTAACCACTTCATAAATCCCATGTTGTTTCTTTCATTTTGTCAATGTCTTGATTTTGCACATTATTTCTTTTCAGTTTGGTTGTCTATGTGGGGGGGGGGGGGGGAATAGGGCTTTATTTTGTAGCAAAGTTGGATACATGTTTTTACTTCCTTTGTTTTTATTTGGAATTCATAGTACACAAACTAGACAGAATGCATTTCCTGTAATTTTTCCCAATGTACCATATATATATTTTTTGCACCCCCCATATGCTTACCCAAATATATTCAATAAAGTCTGTTGAATAAATGGATATTAGATTGGGTTGACTTTTTTGTAACAAAGCAGAATAGTAAAAAGCTCACAGTGAACTTAAGTGTTTTACTGTAGAAGAGCTTCAGTCCCCTTCATTTACCATATTGTGAACCAAGCATAGAAGTGTTGTGTTTACATTTGTGTCTGTATTGCCC